GTTTATACTTATGGCTCGATCAGCTGATCCTGAATCTTCCCTTAGTTACTCTCTCACTTTTTCTCACTTTTAATCTTTGGCTCTCTTCCACAGCATGGGAGTCTCCCTCCCATCACCCCAACCATTCATGGCAGAGGGCCGTCCCTCCCTGAGCCTGGTTTTTCTGGAGGTTTCTTCCTGTTAAAAAGGACTTTTTCCTTCCCACAGTCGCTAAGTGCTTGCTCAAAGAGGGTGGTTTCATTGCTGGTGCTTTCTCTGTATTATTGTGGGGTCTTTACCTTTGTCTGACTCTGCCACTGTACAAGAGGGAGGACGAGTGGGAAAATGAGAGGATAAGAGGCAATTAGGATGAGAAGACAAAGAAGGGGCCACACCACATTTGGACTACTTAAGAGCTTGAACAGTCAGGGTCTTAGCTGCTCTCATCCCTTTGTTCACCTGATCTAAGCATATTCCAACCTCATCATCCATCATTCTTGCCCCCTTTTACCCCCTTACTATATATACTTTATACATATTTCCTACTCTTCCTGCCTTTGCTCAGCTTTTTCACAATGTTAACTATTACTTTTTTTTACTTGCGGTTTATCTGTTGGCTGAGACTCGGGCTTCTGTCAGAGACGAGAACTCTACCCAAGGGCAGTCGTATGTGGAGATGGTAGAAGCAGACGGGGAGGGCGCCGAGCAGAGGTGTTCCACACGGAGCGGGGAGTGCGTGTGCACAGGAGTGGATGGGAGAGGCAAAAAAAGATATGCAAGAAGTGATAGGAAATGAAGATGGGAAATTATGCTGCACTATATAAAGGACGAGGGAGACACAGAGAGCAGGAGGAGCAAAGCGAAAGAGAAAAATAATTGGGCCAAAGAGAGGAGGCACAAAAAAAGGTTGTAGAGGAAAATGAGAGATGATAAAGGGAAAGGTTGAGTGTGAGAGGAGATAAAGGAAAAGCACTGGAGGGAGAGCGAAACAGGGGAAAGGACGTTCCCTCCATGTTTCATCGCTGATACTGAACGATGTGCCAACTGTGGAAATACTCCCTGCTCATCCATCACTCACACTTTTGACCCTGCCGGGTTCCTATAGTTTAACTAAGGTGTGTGTATGTGTGTGTGTCTGTGTGTCTGTGTGTGTGTGTGTGTTTCACAGACACACAGGGGGATTATTTAAGCTGCTGTAACTTATACAGATGAAACAGCATTAAAACGGCTCTCTTAAGCTTTTGAAGGAGTGAAGGAAGCTTCAGCAGGAAGACCTTGTTTTCTGGTGTGTGTGTG